TTGATCATATTTTCTACGTTTATCATGGTCAGATAATGTTTCATAAGCACGACAAAATGCTCGAAACATTTCAGCGGCAGTTTTATGATTTTCTGGGTTTTGAAGTCGATATTTTTTGTATTCAAGAATTCGTACACGATGCGCTCGACGCAGTTCATAATCATTATCAGTTTTTTTTTGCTCCAAGTATCTCGTATGGTTTTGAAGATGATTCGATTAGTTTTGATATTGGCGATCCCATTGTTTTTTATTCTTGTTTGTAAAACGTGTCACAAGAAAAGGAATCTTGCTTATCAAAAAGAAATATAATACTCTGACGAATACGTTTTCATTTTCTTTTATATAACCCTTTTTTATCGTGTTCTTCTATTTCCCTGGGATTTTTCATTTATAATACATAGTCATCATCTCTATAGGCAAGTTACAAAGATATTACCAGTAGGTAACCACCGAGTCCAAGTAGCTCACTCTCGGGTTCTGCTTGGTTGAGCGTGTTTGTGCTTTGTTAGATTCGTTTAGGTTCTCGATGAGCCCATCTCCGACCGACTCTGAGCATGATCAAGCTCGAGCCTGTACCGAGCCGATCGAGTCGAAGCTTCTTGATCTGGACTCAGGCTTGGTGCATGCTTAATTACAAGTATTCTGGTAATGACGTCTACATTTCACAATTGATACACTTTTTTCTACTAATCACTTGTGTTTTCCAGAGACTTTTCTTTCTCATGTAAAGCACCGAAGGGGGTAAACAAATAACGGTTCTTGTTGACAAAGCTGAAGAATTCAATTTTTTTAATTTATCTAGTTATCTCTCTTTTAGTCTAATTTCTATTTAGTTTTTATTTCTTGATTCAAGTACCTACAAAAGAAAATTGCAAAATTCCACGTTTAAACGTGTTGTATTATGAATTCGTATGTTTTCCTTGGTCTTGAAGCGCATTTTTTTCTTATAAAAGTCTTTTTGTATTCGTTTATCCATGATTGTTGTTTTATCATATTTATATGATTCTATTCACCATGATTTATTGAGTAAATCTCAATGTTCTTTTACAAAATGATCAGTGTCATGAGTCCTGCAAAGTTGCACAGACGAAAAACCTTCTAAGAACCTTGTGTTTTTTGCAGTTGACTATTAACTATTCATGGAAGTAATCATTAAAACTACAATTCGCAAACATTTTATCGTTGACAGATACTTCGATTTTAACAATATTAGCTTTCATATTTTTTTCGGAGTCTTTTGAATTTCCTGTGAGAAAGTTACTAATAAACTTACGATAGAATGATATAAATAGGATAAAACAACTAATATAAATAAACAGATAGAAAACAGGTTCCAGAAGAAATAAAAACGAAAACATGACTTTTGCTAACATTCTAAAACGGGCATGAGAGCAATTCATATAATCAGGATTGCAAACAAAGAATAGGCGTCAACGGGGTTAAGTAATCCAAACATTATTCTGGCACATAAACACATGCATATTCTCTTGTTGGTTTGCTTCATTTTGCCAAATCTTCATCTGACAATATATAGTATGATATTTCTAATTATAAATTCACATTGCATATGATATATTTTCATGAGGTAAGTTTTCTATTAATTCTTGTTTTTCTTTATTATAATGCATCAACATTTTGCTAGGATGACAATCAACACTCTTCGGATATAGGTGAATGTATATTGCTTATCAGTATGAGCGCCATCTGTCAGATAGATAACTTTGAAAATTGTAAAAAGACGACTCAGATTCATCCAAAAGTATTTTTTATTTTACAAATTGAAATGGCGTAGATGTTTGTTAAATAGATTTATCCAATGAGAATACTACACATGTCTGTTGTTTTTTATTAACCCAAAGTCATTATAACAGTATAAGTTCGTAAATTAGAGATAAAAGACAAACAGATGAATATTTTCTTAATGCATGATTTTGGATGTTAAAGAAACAGAACAGAGTGAGAGATATAAAGAAAAAACGAGAGACCATATAAATAAGAGACGATTTTTATCGGTATAAGTCGTAAATTGTTTTTGAAGAGAGGGGAAAAAACGAAGCATGTTACAGATCAATATTTGCTGAATCTTTATGTTATAAGAATACTGGAGCCATAGATATATGTCGCTCTCGCGGAGCACAAACATCCACGCTGCCGAGTGAGTGGGTGGAGATCTGAATCTTGTCCCAACTCATACACCCATATTCCACACCCATACTCGCACTTGATTTCTAGTCAGTTTTTTCACAGCACATTCATAGATCCATTAACTACTGTCCATTGGAAGTGTTAACAATCCACATAATAACTATAGCATTTCTTGGTCGTTTCATATTATACAAAAGACTTTTCTTTTCAGAACTTATCATTGCACATTCAACAAAAATAAATGTATGTCAAGCATGTTTGTATGATTTGATTCTTTCAACTTATTTTTGCATTTAAGAGCAGATAATGGCACACTATAAATCTGAATAATATTTCTACAAGCTAAGGAATTAATATCTTCAACCTCTCTCTCAGAGAATCTATCTCGAACCCAAGGATATCACTAGATCCATTAGGAATCGATGTGATGATTGTGCGAAAAATATTCGAGATGCATGTAATAGCATTGAATTAATAGCAATCGATGTATACATAGCAAAAATATGATTAGTGCAAGAATCTTTCATTCGTTATGAGTTTTCAACTATCCATATCTCAGAAATGATATTTTGATACGTAGATTATTGATCGAATGTAACACATACAAGCAAATAGCATTCGATACTTAATCGATAGTCGAGATAAATCAATGCATTCTTTAGTGATTTCAGAAACACCTACATCTGATACTATGAGGGTCAAGCAGTGTAAGTTCAAAATTCATGAATGTGCAGCTCATGATTTACTAATCAGTTATGCATTTACTCAAAGTATTTGCACCTCAATCTATGAATAATCTAAAAGAGACTTCCGAGTTTCACATATAGACTTTCCAACGATTCTCAGGACGTTCTCTACTGTATTACTAGAAATATTTACGAACTTTTCATTGATATGTAGGAAATCCTTAGTCAATATCTAGGAAATCCTTAGTCTATCTCTAGGATTAGACTTGAAAAGGCACACCCACTCATCTATAGTCATTTTGTGAAACACGATCTCAAAGGAGTGTTGAAGTATATATGATCGAAATTTGAACCTCAACCCCCACCCCCCACCCACCCACACAGACTGTGGCAGATGGGCTCCAGATCAGTCACAGTCAGTGACACACGTTTTTGATGCACGATAACCTATTACATATCACTAATCTCTCATGAAAATATATAAACTGCTTCCTTTTTGTAGTTCTAAAAGATTTTAAAGTTAATAAAAAATTGGTTTGCAGATAAATCGTATAAAACAACATTTTGGTGATTAGTAAGAACAGCTATATCGTGTTCGACATTTTAATCCTGCAAAGATTGTGCTAACAATTTTTTCTAGAGGAATTTTACAAAAGGACTGTCATTACAAAACTGTTAGCAGTGATCTTGTCAGAAATAGCTGTGTTAATTATTGAATCATATCTATGTAATTTCTGTGGACTTTGGATAAAATTATCTATGAACTTTGCAAAATCATTGGCAACTTCAAGATAAACGAAGATTTCTCATTACAAAATAGTCGGATTCAATTTTATAAAATATTTTATTTTCTATAAGTTCAAGTATCATCAGTAATTTTTGTCAGAGCCTTTTTCGATTCTATTTTGACATACGACAAAAAACTTTATATGACATACATAGAGATAAATCATATGCCTTAATTATCCAAATTCAAACCGTTTTTTTGCGTTTTTTTTAGAAATCTTCCATATTATTACCATTTTTATGAGACTTGTAGGACGTGAAAGCCAAATGTTGATATTTGTAATCTTAGTTTCTTTTTTCAAACAGGTTTAATATTAAATACTATTTCATATGAAATCAAAAGTCTGAAGACAAAGCCTAGCTATGTGCTTCTAGTTATATCTGTACATTATTTCACTTTTCAACATACTCTTTCACACTCGATATGAATGAATGCAGATAATCTCATCGCTAGTTTCGTTTTGTAGAATACTCCTTGTATCATTTTAGTAAATACGGTATCATCATAGCAGAATTTAAATATCTTTTTAAATCACACCAAAAACAGAATCCGATCTAATATTGGCCTTTAACTTATACAAGTACCGATGAAAACAGCAAAATTAATTCAAATTTTTCTTTTCTTTTTAAATGAATATGCTGCTTCAGTGTAGTATTCGAAATCAGAGTCTAACACCTTTATAAAAAAAAGTAATTCTCATCTATAGATCAATTAAATTCTTCATATGTATATTATGATACAAGAAAAGCGTTGTTTCTAAAGCTTTACTATATATAAAAACGTTTCATTTCTCTTTCCAAAGTCATACACAACATGCCAACAAATATTAAATTTGTTTTTTTTTGTGTCTCTCTCTTTCGCTCAATCGCGGGATGATCTTTCTTTTTCTCTTTGCAAAAAATATTTGTACAAAAAGAAAACAAAAAAAAAAGAATGAGAACAAAAGAAAAGAAAAAACGAACAAAGTAGTAGAAGAAAAAAAACCAGACGACAATGAAAAAAAAAACAAAAACATTATATATCGTTTGCAGCAACAATTCTAATAAACAAATGAACTTTAATTCAAGTCTAATTGTTTGTTTAAACGAATCAATCTTTTGCAAAAGTTCTTTCTATACTTGCAAATATTTTCCACATTACATACAAATATGTAAATGAACGAACAACACTCAATAATAGTAAATAATAGCAGGTAGGACGGAAGAATAGAGAATGACAACATCAACAACAACGAAATTGCCGGTGTTTGTTTTAGTTTGTGTTTTTTTTTATAAGGATAAACGTGCATATATATATATATTTATATAACTCTCTACAAAATGTACAATGTTTTATAAAGAAAGGGACAACAATAGACACCAAATAAAATATGGTTGAAGAGAAATATACGTGGATATATATATATGTATAGAGAGAGAGAGCGAACATATAAAAATCTAACTTAAAAGAAAGAATGCTCATCACTGCACAGAAAAAGAAACAAAAAAAAAAGAAAAAAAAAGCACAAGAACAACAAATAATATGTTTATTTTTTTAATTTTAATTCATCCATTTTCGACAATTAGCTGCACCGCATAAACACGGAATTTTTGAATCTTCTTCAAAATCAAATTTATAATCATACATTATTTCTTCACCTTTTGCAATACGTCGATTAGTTATAATTATGATTTTGCTATCTTTTTCTATTTGCACAACTTCAGCAATTGAATTTGGCTATGTACAAAAAAAATGGAAATAAAAGGAAAAATCAAATAAAAACTATTTTATACCTCGCATGAATGATTTATATAACGTGCTAAACAACCACTCATTGTTGCATCAACAACATATTCTTCATCTAATCGAAACATATATATTCCACGGTTTTGTTGTTCATATAATTTTTCTCGTTTATTGGCAACTTCATTACGTATTAATTCACCAATATATTCAATAACCATTGTATGTTTTTCAAGATCACGTCCAGCAAATAAACCTAAGCCCTACAAAAAGACAAATCATCAGTAAAAAAATATCTAAAGTGGTGAGGAAAAGTTTAGAATCAAAATATTTTTGACTTTTTTAATGGTAGCAGCTAGAATAAATTAAAGAAAAAATTTCAATAACTGAAACAATATCCCATAGTAATTTCTTACTTGTCAAATTCTCATTAACAGATTTGGGTGAAATATTTCTGGGAAACTGAGATTTCTAAAAACCCGTTTTTTGGATTCAATTCAGAACGTTTTACAAACAACTTCATCTACTGGAACAAAGATTTTTGAGGAAAGTGAAATCCTTCCGAACTCTTCATGACCTATCGTCTTTGAACTGTATTCATTCGACGTAAGATTGTAATGTATAAAACACAGCCAGTTCTCATAAAAACATCAGAAAACGATGAGATTTCTGTTTGGGTGCGAAGTCAACCCGACAGGATCTACATATTGCACAATCATTACCATTTGCTGAAAATTGGTCGTCGAGAGCTTAGCGATACTGTATTTTATTCAGAATTATTTTGTCTATCAAATGAACTTATTTACAAAACATTTTTGGTATAACTCAGAAAAGTGATTATATGAGTTTTAGTTTTTCATGCATGTTCCATTCAAACTTGTTAATGCGACTTTGACAAGCGTCTCTCCCGATAGAAAATTGATTCAACTAGTCAAATCTTTTCTCTGATTTCTTTCGGTCATTACCGTTAAGAAAAAAGTCAATGATATTTGTTTTCTAAACTTCTTTTCTCCATTTTTTTTCAAGAGAACTTATATTTACCTGAATACGTGATTTAGCTAGAAATACGTTTTGACGCCATTCACTTTTTAATTTTCGATATTGAGTTGACTTTGATAAAACAAAATGTTTGACATATGGAATTTGAGTACCTAAAATACCAAATAAATTTCAAAATAAAAATCATTTGTTTTCTTTTTACCTTCAACTCCGAGTACAGTTCTCGGTAAAGCACTTCGAGTTGAATGTGAACTTGTTAATGTTTGTGCGTGTCTAAATATTTTTGTTTAGATATATTTATTAAAAAATCTATTATTCTTTTTTACCGTCGAAAATGAGTTTGTAATTTTGGTTCACTTCTTGCACAACCTGTTGGATTAAGTGTTAATGGCATATCAAGTAATTGTAATCGACCATATTTAAAAGCATAATTTTGTAACATTTCAACTCCTGGTAATGATTCAATTAAACGTATAATATGTGGTTCCTAAAAATAAATAAACTATTTAAAAAAAAAATCTATTCATAAATTAATTTCAATCAATTTACAGTAAGTCCATATAAATCTTCACCACTGACAAATACTGAAAACATTTTTACAAGACCATGTTGTCGTCTTAGAGAATCAATTGCATCGACAATTTTATGCCAAACTAATTTAGCACTTGATTCAAGAAATTCTTGTGCTGGTTCATCTTCATTTTCTTGTATACGTATTCGAAACATTGGTTTATTATTAACATCAATTATTGAACAGTTATATGCACAACGACGATTTGGACGACGCATTGACCAATAAAATCGTGTTACAGTATATCCAACCTAATGTTAATTCAAATTTATGCATGTATTTTATAGAAAAAAAATAATAACTTACTGGATAAATAAAATTTCGATTATGAAATACAGCTGATTGTAATTGATGAGGTAGCAGTTGACCGATATTATGAAGTATAAGACTACCGATACGAAGTGTATACGATGTTTCTTCATGTTCTTCAGTCATGTAGCTAGAAAAGAAAAGTTAAAAATTTCTTTTTATAGAAATTTAAAGAAAGTAAATCTGAATTAAAGATGCTGAAAGTTATCCCACAAGCTGGAATATTGTAAGGATTAGAAAATTTTTCTTAATCAGGATACAAGAAAAGCCTATTCAACGTATCTCTCTAACATGATACTAATTTACTATTCATTACTCTGAGAGTCTTACTACTATAATTAAATTCAGGCGCAGTCAGATAAAAAGTTCGTAAGGCAAGACAAAGGTATACGGAAGAACATTGTTGCCTTTCGACGACTTTGCAATATGGAGTGCTGTCTAGTGGCAGATTCAGTAGCTCAATAATTTCTCTATAACTTATACTATCTATGGCTTTTGACAAAAGACTAGCGTAGTGTAGAATTCTTGTAATTGATCACTTAGATGCTTCATATATTCTAACTGACCACCAGAGCAAATGTATGTCGCAACGTAGTTAATATGTTCTCAAACATGCGATTCGAGACAAACGATCATGAATGACTTATTTGGAGTCATTCCATAGCTATTAATACCAACGTGTCGAACAACATAGCCACTTAGTTGAGATAACGGGTAAGAGTAAAGTTTCTACAAAAAAGAAATAAAGTAACTCTATACGTCTCTAATTTAAATAATAGAACGGATTTTTTATTAGAATAAAACATCTATTAAAACTGTTTAAATAGAATTTTCCTGAAAACAAAGAATTTCAAATTCAGTAGATCGATGTATGAAGGAGAAAGAAAACTATTGTTCTCTTAATATGATAGGAGAGTTTGAGGATCTATCAATTTATTATCAAGTATCTGCTCTATTCGATAAATTTCACTATAAAACTGATTCAATTTTGAAAAATAACTTTAAGTCTTGATTTTTCTATTTTAATACATACTTTTGAATTTGCTTAACTTCATCTCTATTGATCCAAACTTTACGAAAGACAGATTTATCTTCAAGTATTTGATCAATAGCTGTAGTTCGTGAAGCATGAACTGGACACATAATTGTCTTTAAAAAGAAAACATCATAATAAATATATTTAAAAAAAAAATTTCGTCTTACTTTATTTTTATAAAAAACACAACCATTATTAACAGCACATGGAAAATGATATGTATTTGGACAACGTTGAAAAAAACATGTTAAACTGGCACCTTTTTGTTTACATGATGCACATTCTGTATTAATTGAACGTTTATATGCTTGTTCAACACACATTAATGCACCACTAACTGTCTCATAGACTTCTGTTGACCATAAAGCACAATTCAAATGACACCACTGACCAACATCAAGATTAAGTAATCTATAGAAAATTCTATTTTTTGTTGTTTTTTTTTTAAGTAATAAAATTACTAATACCTTCCAGGTCCATTTGTTATCATATCACCAACACCATTACAAAATGCACAAATACGTTTATCTTGTTTAGCATTTTGTGATAATGGTATTTTCATATCCGAAATCAATTGTTCAATGTCATGTGTATTTGATGGTCGTATAATAGTTTTTAATGTAACACTTGGATCCCATCGCTTCCATCGTATATCTTTCCATCGTTTATCACCATTTGACTAAACAAAAAAAAAGAGTTTAGTATTTTAATAATTAAAATTTTTTTTCTGGGTTTTTTTGGGTTTACTTTATTAAGAGTATCTTGTCGCCGTTTAAGTGATAAACGTCTTGATCGTCCATTGGGTGAACCATTTAAATCATTAGGTGTACATGGTGGTGATGTTATTGTTGTTGTATCCATAGGTTCGTTTTTAATTGTAGGTGAATTATTAATTGATGTATTTATACTTAATGTTTGTTGTTGATTATGTGTATTTGATAAACAAGTATTAAAACATTGTTCATTACAAAAATAAACAAATGGTTCTGAATTTGGTATTAATTCTCTAATAGCTGCTGGTAATTCAGTTAAACGTTTTTTAAATATTGTATCTGATGTTAAACGTTGTGTACAATTACGACAATATTTTGGTTGCATTTCAATTAATGATTGAATACTAACACTTGTTTCTCGACCGATTTTATATGTTGATGATGAACGACTTATTGTTGATATTTGAGGAATTGTTGATGATGATGATAAAAAATTATTTGAATTATTATTATTTAATGTTGTTGAACATAAACAATTTGGATCAAATGATGATGAATAATGAACATTGGAATTATTATTTAATGTTTGATGAACATCAAATGTTGATGGATATGCTATTTTGAGTAAATCAGCAACAGCAGCTATAACACTTTGAACATTATTTGCTGCTTCAGTTGTTAATGTTAATGTAACTGATACCTATTTTTATGTTAGAGAAAAAAATATATATATTAGTTAATTATAAATAGATTTCTCTAGAAATTTATAAAATATGTAATAAACATTGTTTTTTTAACGAGAATAATCCTCTAACTGATAAATTGTCTTGAATTGAAGCCTATTTGCATGATGTAGAACTACATGAGCTATGAACATTCTGACAAGATTAAAAGTCCTAAGCTTATTGCTGCGGAGAAAATGAACTTTTACGATAGTTTATAAATGAATGCTATGGTGCTCCTTAGAAAAACTGATTTGTGAATAGCAACTGAAAAGTTTGCATAGGACAAGCTTTAAGAATACATTTCTCCTCTTTTTTTGGTCATTTCTGGTTCTTGAAGACGTACAACTGATCTGCAAGAAGTTTCTATCAAAGATAATGCACCTAGAAAAAGGATTAATTTGTTCGATCAGACTGAAATGTTTCTTTTTGTTGAGACACCTTGGGTAATATCTTCGAGATAATCGTAAGCTTAATCAAAAATCTGAGTGTTATTTGTAAGAGAAATATGTAAAGACTTCGATTCACAACTGGAATCAGGGCTCTATAAATCAAAATAAGAAAGTCAAAAACGATCAATTCCAACTCTGAAGAATACTTCCAAGTATCGGTCGTCAACACTTTAGCTCGACTGGACAGTCTATTGCCACGAACATGTGTTCCCTTCTTTTAAGTACTCTATCTATGATAGAAATTTCAGGCAGAACCATTGCACATTCTTCAAGAACCAGGAATAGTCAAAAAATAGAATCCTAAGATTTATTTTGATTTTATTTTTCCTGTGTTTTGACATTGAATGCAATCAGTGGATGGTTTATTACCTTATCAGTTCCTTCAACAATTGGTCGATCTTTTTTCTCGAGTTCATTTCCACCTGGTGGTGCACTTGTTGCGGTTGTATCATTAATCTCTTTTTTAATATCTACTGTTGATGTTGCTGATGACAATGATGATGGTGCTAATAATGATTCACTGTTCTTTGTTGTTAATATATCGTTAGATATTAATACAGGACTTAAAGATCTTAGATCATTATTTGATGATAATGTTTTAAGTAATTGTATATTTTCTGTTTCAATATTATTTATAATATGATCATCATCAGCTAATGTTGATGTTGATATAATACTTTCATCATCACGTATATCATTAGTTTGTACTTTTAATAATAAGTCGGATAGTTTATCATTGGAATCAATAGCTAATGGTGGTGATGGTAAACTTGGAGGATGATCAAGTAATGTTGAACATAAACGATAACGGCGTTCAAGCATTGATAATGAATTTGAATCTAGAGTTTTCAAAGAAAATGATATTTTTATTTTATTATTAATTAGAAAATTAAACTTACACATTCTTGAAGATATTGGTTTTACAGGTGGTTTTCGATATGGTCGATAATGATCAGGAATATTTTCAATAAAAACATTACCAAATTCACCTTGATTTTGATATTTTTTATCAGGTATATCAAATGGTAAAGATAATGATAAGTCATTATTAATATCAATAGATGGTTCAAGTGGTGTTAACATAGGTAAATCTCGTAATTGTTGTAATGAATGTTCAACAAATTTTTCTGTTTCTTCTGTACCTTTTTCTAAATACGAAAAAATTTTGTTTTATTTTATTTTTTTGAAAAAGCTATTAGCGCAATATCTGTGAAATTAAAATGTCAAACATGATGTACGTGCTATTGGTAATCACAAGGAGATTGCTTTATTCTATCTATTCTACGACATATTTCTTCATCATCTTTTTACTTAATCCTCTTGAAATGCAATGAGGATGTAGTTTAGGAAGACGTTATTGATATACAGTCTTTGATAATATATTGACAATGTCTACGACGGAGAGCAGAGACTTTACTAAAGTGTTTGCGATAGTGTTTGTCTAGCATCTATGATAGGCTTTGGTCAGCGTCTGTTAAGATTTGTGATGATCTCTAACTACCGTCTCTCATAATCTGTAATGATCTCTAGCTTGCGTCGGTCATGGCCTACGATGATCTCTAGCTAATGTCTATTACGATTCATGACGACTTATGATTAGCATCTTTCATGGTTAATTGATGGTTCTTTGCTAGTGTCTGTGATGATCTCTGGTTCACATCTACTATGTTGTGTGACGAGTTCACTTTTTTACCGCTATATTTCAACATTCGTTTTACATCATTTTTCACAAAAATGAGATTCTATGTTACATACTTTTACGTTTTCGTGCTTTTGTTGGTACATCATCTTCAAATGATGTATTTAATTCATTAGGTTTACGTTTTTTACGTGATTTTGGAATTTTAACATTTGGTACTGTTGATCCTGTTGGATTTGGATGTGATTGAGTATTAAGAGATGGATTATATAAATGATGATGACTATTAGGATAATTATGTGTTAAATTATCATGAATATTCATTTGAGAATTATCATATGGATCATTACTATCGGTCGAGATACCATTTGACATAGTATTATTAGTTCGTGCTTTTATTGCAACAGTAGCAGCAATTTCTTCTGAATTCTATATGATGAGAAAAACAAAAACAATAACGAAATGAAACGATAATTACAAAACTTACAGCTTGTGGATTAATTTGTAATAAAGATTTAAGAATATTATCATCCGTAGTAAGCATACCAGATGGTAAATGAAGAACTTGTTGTGGTATGGATTGTTGATGTGGATGTTTTTGTTGATTAATAAGACTATCATTCATATGTGGATTTGCTTGAAGTGAATTTATCGATTGTTGTACTTGTGGTGGTGGTGGTGGTGGTGGTTGTTGTCCAGATGTTCGATAGAGAGTATTAGGATCATAAATAATCGGTGCTTGTTGTTGCATAGTTGTCGGTTGCATAATTAATTGAGGAGGTGGCGGTGGTGGTGGTGGCGGCGGTGGTGGAGGTGCTCCACGTGATCCAAATGCATTTGGTGGTATCATTCGTGGTTTCATCATTTGATAAGCATGTTGTTGCGGTTGTGGTGTTTGTATCATTGGTGGATAACGTAAAACTACAGTAGATGGACCAGTTGGTGTTCCATTTGTTGGTATACCAGGTCTTATTGATTGTGGTTGTTGTTGTGGTGGTGGTGGAGGAGGTGGTAATTGTTGTTGTTTAACTTTACCTATTCCAGTAATGGTTGTTACTGGGGATGAAAGCATTTGACGAGTATTAACATAAATACCAGTTGGTGTATGATGAGTTGAAGATGGTAATGGATGATGTGACCCATGCGATGACATATTATGATGATTATCTGATTTATTTTGTACATTTGTTTGTTGTGGAGATATAAAACTATTATTTGTACCTGTTACTTGAGAAGATGATTGATGAATAGGAAATCCTCCAAGTATAGTTGGTGTTATCGATGCTTGATTCATATGATGCATATTAACACCTAAATTATTTGGTAATGGTGATGGTAATGGAATTAATGATGTAACTGATGGTGAATTTGATGGTGGTGGTGATGGTTCAGTTGTACCTGGTTGTGATGTTTGTCTTGTCATTGGAACATTAATACCATAATTATTTAATAAATCTTGATTAAATCGAACATGATGTTGAAGTGATTGACTTTGTTGTGGAACAATATTACGGGCAGTTGAAATATTTGTTAATGTACCATTATTTGATGTTTGTGTTGAAAGTGGTGGACGTGTTTGTTGAGAAGGATGACGTTGTAAATTTGTTGACATTGATGGTGATGGCATTGATACATCATCAGGTGTTTGATGTGGTGTACCAGGTGTTGGTGTTCGAGATATTGTACGGGGTGACTGTACATTAACTATATTATGTTGTTTTGAAGGTGATGGAGAATGAAGAAGGTATTTAGTCGCACCCGATGGATCATTAGACGGCTTAAAAGAAAGAAAATTATTTTTTAATCGAAATTCTTTACAAATAACGTGTCAAAATGTATTCTTCTTTTTACATCACTTTTCAACACATTGAAAACTTCATTTTAGACTCATTCAATAGAAAATTTCCTAATCTTTGTTTTTCTAATAACTTGTTCTTTGTTGACATAAAATTTCAAAATGAATACCTATCCAATTGTCTCATTGCGACGATCAGTAAACGAAAAAAAAACATTTCATCAGGGTTTTACTGAAATTTGGAAATATGTAACGAAATTCTCCACAAATTCTGTATCTTTTAATATATGTTCCAAATAGGAAGAAATAATTTTCAAATAAAAAAATCGAAAAAAAATACTTTTCTAGTAGAATGACATCATTGTTCTTTTCCCTTAGATGTCTACTCTTCGATTAAACAATCATACTATTCCGTTCAGAATTAAATTTCACATCCAACAATATGAGAACAAATGTGTTATAGACAAAATCTCGCTCTTGAAACTATGGTTTTTCAGAATACATCTCAAAATGCTGCGAGATATTGGTTCAAAATCTTTTTATTATGAACAACAGCAGCAGAAACATTGAAAAGAACGTGAAATAAAGCGCATCGGATCTAACCCAAGCCCATATTCGAAAATTTTCGGGCCCAATGGGTTCTATCATAGAAGCAGAGAGTACGAAATTCTCTATATATTGATGCCAAATACTTTACTTTCAGCATCGGTTCTGACACAAACCATGAAGCATCTGCAGAAAATCAGAAATCGAAGTTAGATGATATGAGTATGTGTGCATCCACTAAATTTCACACTGACAAAGAAAAAGTTATTTGAAAAACTAAAGACAATGGATTTGTAGAGCAAGAAATTTTCTATTCAATGAATCTAAAACGGTCATCTTTAATGTACTAGAAAGTGTTTTAAAGAGAGAAAAACATTTCGATTCGTTATTTCATACATCTTCGATATGTCGTATAGAATCTTCAAATGGATTTTGAACAACGATTGTCCTAAAAAAAAGCTGATGATTAACCAAAAACACAACAAAAAGAATTATAGCTTCATACATAGATTTTGATGCATTATTTGAATTATCAATACTTGCTGTTCGTATCATTGGTGAATGATAATGTCTTACATCCGTTGGTGTACGTGGTGTATTGACATTAGCTGTATTTGTTGTAACTGAACGCATATGTTGTGTTGTTGCATCTGTTGTATAAACACTATCTGTTATAATATCAAGTTTAGTTGGTGGTGTTGCTGATACTGATTCGTTCATTATCGATCAACATTCGATAAATCTATTTTTTGAACATATACATATATAAATACTGTTCTTGCTGATATCAGCAGAAGATATACATCTAAAATATATATGTATAAGATAAAAGACAAAACAAAAAAAAACATGATATTATCTACAAGTTCTTTATCGAACAACATAAAAGAATCTGCTTTTTTTTCAAATGTACTCCCTGGAAGGTTGAAGTTTTCGATGGCTAATATAACCGGAAGACAAAAAGAAACAAAAAAACACAACAAGAAATCGCAGTCTACTGTTTATACTTGTTCACAACCGGATGTTGATTGCATTGGCTCAATTTACGAGAAGAAAAAAAGAAGAAACAAAACGAATTGAATCAAAAAAAAAATGCAATGAATCGCACCACACGAAGAAAAAAAAATGAAAAAACCGGAAGAGAAAAAAAACAAATCACATTACAGATGATGATGCACCATTGGATAATATTGATGAAATAAGTTCAGCTACAACAGTACGTCCTGATTCTTGAGATGTTGATGGAAAATAATCATATTGTTGCGTTGATAAATTTTCTTGATTTAATGGAATGTATGATGAATTACAAATAACATTATGTTGTTCATTATATGATAAACGTGATTGATAACGATGACGTGTTGTACTCTCAGATTCAATTGGAATATCACCATGGCCAGATATCACATTTAAAATAACTTCATCAATTTTTTCAAGAATATCTGTTGGTACATCTAAATCAACAATCGATATTTTAACTAAGAAAAAGAATATATATTTATTTACTTTGTAATATATCAATTCGTGTTGTAGATTTTTTACCACTTGTCGTTATATTATTTTCTGAAAATGATGTATCAATGTTTGCATTTGATCGATGTCCATTCGTTGTTGACGATAATAAAGTAAAACATGATGTTGATCTCATTGGAGTTGGCTGAGAAGAATATTGTTGTAAAAAATCTGAACCTAAGAAAAACACAATAATAAAAATAAGTGCTCATCTATAAAAAAAAAACGTCCAGATGAAGAGGAAGAGAGGGATCAAACATGTCCATCGGGCCCAAAAATCTCTGGACCGAGTCAACACAAAATTTTCAGATCCGAGCTCAATGAGATGTGTTGTCTAGATGCTTACTATGAATATTTTGTTTTTTTTTTTCAAACAATTTTTTGCAAAGATTCTAAGATTGATGTCTCTTAAGGCGCATTTTTTAATAGAAAATGAACTGAAGATGAATATGATCTTGAAATAATTCAAAATTATGCTATATGACAGATAGTAATTTTCTGCAACAGTTCTATTAGGTTTTGCGAGTGCCATTGATAATGAACTTCAGTTATTGTTTGCACTACTTTCTGCTCAATAGAATGGATATTATTTTTTTAAAAAAGCTTTGCTATACGTTAGCTTTTTGTTTGTTGTTTGTGAAATGTATTTCTATTTTTAATATATTTATTTAATGAAAAAGAAGCCGTAGATTTGAACAAGCCGACTTTTTCTGAAAGTTCTCTTTTATACTGAACATTAGAGCCAGTCGGGTATGTCTCGCATTGGGATCTGAAAATTTCGAAGCCGATGGATTCTGATCGTTTGAGAAATATGTATAGTGCACTAATACCTATTCCGATAAAAAAGCGATTGTTTTAGTAATTTTTGATAGTATCATGATAGACTAGCAGTTTTCACCTTTCGAAAAAGATGAAGACGCATATTACAAGTGTTTCAGACCTAATTTTTGTAAGGCTTTCAATTGACTCTTTTGAAAACGAATGTACCTTGTGAGGTGACTATGGTGAATTTTCAATTATCAAGCGTGCATCTGAATCGATGACAGAAGATTCACAAAACTGCATAAGCCTCAGGTTCTTAGCTATACTTACTCAGGACTCATAGGTATTCTAGTCACGATTCTTGGTCTATTCTACAAGCAATTATTGTGCAAACAAAATCACATTTATGCTTTTTTTCTTGTACTAAAACAAACCTTTTTCCAACCCTTGTTTTTTTTATCGAAAAAACTTCAGGAAAAATCTTAGAACAATTTATGATACACATGATTCGATGCGACTTCATCTTCTCTTTCTAATGATGACAATTGCAGCACTTCATCTGGTGTCTATCAAAAGTTATTGATAAAATATCCATCTATTTTTTTTTTCTAATGAACATTTACACCAAATACAATAAAACTAGAAAAAAGTATCTCGCATCTTTGAGATAACTATTCGATTTCGATTAGAAAACTTCATTGAGAGCATCAAAGTAAGGTTAGACTAGGTCTCGATCTGCAAATTTGAAACCCACCAGGCTCTACTGAATGTCCTGTATGAATAATTCCTAATATGAAATAAATTAGTTACAAGGAAATATTTTAGGTTGATATGTATTAGTTTTTGTTAGAAATAAAATAGAAGAATCTTTACCGAATGATGATTGAGATGAAGCATGAAGATCGAGTGATGGTAACTAAATTTTAAATTATTTAATATTTATCGATCAAATAAAGAAAAACAAAACTTTCTTACTGAATGTTGTTGAATATTATTTATTGGATATTGCATAGGTGTCATACATTGTTGTTTATCAATAATCATTGATTTTTGTAAATTATCATTTTGTATTTGTTGCTGATATGCTTGAAATAAATGATACGATTCATCCATACCTAATGATAATTGGTTACGTTTAATATTAAGATTTGAACGATTAAAATCTGGTGATTGAACTAAATTACAAACTTTGAAAACAAAATCGATTAAAAGATGATTTAAATTACCTGCTGATAATGATCGTCCATCAGGACATGAATAATTTCCATTTATTACTAACGATTGATTTAAATGTGGTGGTGTTGGTAACCATGATACTGGACTAAATAGTAATTTATTTGTTTTTAGATAAAAATAAAAAGAATTTCAATGAATTACTCATGACGAAGAACATGCTTATTTGTTTGAGAAAATAGTGGATTTTGTAATGGTCCAACTGTGGATTCTTCTAATTCACGAGCCATATTTCGAATAATTTGATTTGGATTATTTGTTTGATAAATACTATTATTTGACCAATCCATAACTTTAAAAAAATACAAACAAAAATTATTTTGTAAAACATGATCTACCACAAGCATTGCATTTTGAACCTAAGATAGGTTCAATAATTTTTCTAAGATCGGCACGTGAAAGTTAAGAATACGGCCAAGTAAGGGATAAACACAATTAGTGCTTCTTTCTTTTATTGCGACTTACATTTTCGAAACTTTTTTGAGATCCGTAGGACAAAAAAGGATCCGATATTCAAAATATGACATCATGTAAGTTCGATACGAATCCTTTTAAGGTATAAAGTGAAACCTATAAGATTTCATATTTTTAATACCGAACTCGTTTTTGTCCTACGGATCCAAAAAGACCTTCAATAGTGTATTCGTATGAAGAAATATTTTAGGTTTCGCTGCTCCTCTCGAACTTACAAAAAGATCGACATTAAAACGATGTTTATATATGAGCCATAGGCAATCATAGACTATATATGAATAGTGTCTCGTTATAATATATGAACTACTTCCTTATTGCACTTTTGAAGGCTTAAGTAAATGGAGGGTGAAGACGTATGTCTCAAAATAGATAGAATAAAGCAATCTTTCTATGATTAGTAACAGCATCTATATTATGCTTGACATTTTAATTCCGTAGGGATTGCGCTAACAGCTTCGTTTTTTTATTATTAAATTACCAGATGAATGATCATTTTGACTTGGTTGATCAACAAATTCAATGAATTCCCAAATATCTCCAGATGAGTTACCTATAAATAAATAACAACTAAAGAAAGAACTAATAAGCATTATTTTTACATGGTGGATTCGGAACTGGATTAAGTATATAATCAACTAAATCTGTAAATTCTTCGTTACCGAAAATAGGTTCTATAAGCGAAATATTAAATTCATTAATCAAAAAAAAAAAAAAAACAAGAAATTTTTTTCATACGCATTTCATTTTCATCATCATTTGATAATGATAATGGAGATTTTTTCTTTGTTGTTAAATATTTAATTGTATCGGGATCAAGTTGAATTGAATATTCACTATTTAAATATTTTAAATTTATTGTTGATTGATCATTATAGGTTAAATCATCATCTAATGGATTTTTGGCCTGATTTTGATTTGCAAGATCCATACCAAAAAATGCTTCCTTAATCAAAGAAAAAAAATCATATCAAACATAAAAATAAACGTAATTGATTTACCTGCATTTCTGGTGGCATATGTTCTTCAAGAATTGTTTTTCTTAAACGTTTATTTTTCGTACGTAATAATTCACTATCCATATGAAGTAAATCTTGACGACGACGATTACCACGAATTTTTACAATAAATCCACCAATACCTAAAATAATGAATGATCATCATCAGAAAACCTATATAGAATAGTGTATATCACAGATGACATTAGTTCAGTTCGAACGGATGAACTGTAATTAATTGGAATAAATGTTAATTCAATTTCCCTCGTATTTATTATTCAAATAACATATTCATTCATATAACAAAACTATGAACTTCACCTTTCTTGCTCCTGCTTTGCAAACGCATACAGTATCATGAAATAGATGGTCAAAGCAAGAAAATTTTTTTCTTCTCTTTTGATGATATACTTTTGAACACATCCGAGCTTTAAACCAAGACTTACAAAATAATGGAAATTGAGATAAATGCATAGAAAGATAGCCCGATATTTGTCATGTTGTAATATTTAATGTCTGGTTTTTTTCCGAAAATTTGAGGTTAATTCCTGCTTGAAAAATATGCTTTTTTTATCGAATCACTCCGAATTCTCTGTGGATCTTCATTCTACATAGTTCATTTTTATTTTGTTTAAAACAGCATGTCAAGATATAGGGAATAACATATTTGCTTTTTTAAATTAAGCTATGTTAGTGTTAAATAACAGTATTTTTATAATTAGAGTACAATTTTTTGAGACACTG